GTTTATATATTTTTAAGCCTTAAAGTAATGCATTTTTAGGGACGCATTGGGTCATAGGTGTCATATCAGGTTGCTAACTGCTAACTGTCCGTCAACACATTTTAGATTAGCTTGGATGCCAAGATGCCGACAACGTCAATCATAGATGAAGTCTGACGTAATAAAAAATGTCAAGACAAGATTTATCACTATACGCATCTTGAGCCCTCAGGAGTGGTATAGATCAACAAGTCCTCCAACTCATACGACCAAATGGGCCGATCGTTCAAGCCCTTATTACGACCAAATATGTTGTTTGTTCAAGTGCTTAATACGACCTATAATTACGTTTTAAAGTTTTCAACCTCTAGTGCTCCCGTTGAATGCAAACGTTACAGAGGGTCGTTTATTCACAAATAACCCTCTCTGTAAAATCCTAAATTGTAGGATAGTTTGGCCATTAAAATGCTTTTTGATAAGATTTCTAGCGAGAAGTGTATATTGTACTTTTAGAATCCACGTCCAGTCGATATGTAGGATCTATAGTTTGATAGATATTACGCAGATGATTTGAGGTATGCGGTAGCTTCCATGTAAAGTTACGGGGTGAAAACAGTATTTCCGGTCTCGACGTTTTCATAATAAAACTAATGATCAAATTATTTAACAGTGATATCTGCAGTACTCATCCACTAAAAAACATCAGTTTATCCTTGTTAATTATACGACATTAATTGGTTTAAATTGTGTACAATGCTTTTGTATTTTTCCCATAGGTTTTTCTCTTTCGATTCTGAGAGACACATTTCTTTTTTCAGGTTTTGATAGGCTAAAACATCGAACTACACCCATAATCCTGGATGTTTTAGCCGCAATGCACGTTGGGATATGGTGTTTATGAAATCGGAAAACATTTTTAAAAAATACTTTATTCCGAGTATACTTGCTTTTCTCTTTGGAAGTCATCACATAACAGCATTGTAATACACGGTTCGGCTGCATTAAATATTACACATCTGCCGTAGTTCTTTATTTATAGAGCCCTGATTAGAAGACCTTTGGACAAACTGGAAGAACTGCCACCGAAACTGAATACGTGACGTAGATCATAAATATATCAGCAATTAAACAACATCTTCAATTTCTCTTCACACAATACGTCTCCTTGCAGTATCAATACTAATTCGGCTGACTTTTATGTTTGATCCAATTGGTAGATAGGTTATATTTACACCATAACGGTGCACAGCTTATAGAAAAGGACACCTAGTGGTTAAAGCACGTTATTGAATTTTTTTGTTGAAATTATGATATATTTGATGAAAAAAATATTAAGAGTACATACTTTCATAGGGGGAAAGTAGAAGGTCAATGATAGAAATATATCATATATATTATATATATATATATATTTACACCATAACGGTGCACAGCTGATAGAAAGGGACTTGTAGTTTTTAAAGATATTACTTACTGATTTACTGAACTACCTTTCCAGCTCCTCATGCAGTTGACTGTTACAGGTACAGGTTCATGGTACAATGCATAAGCTTCAAATCGAGAGACTGAAACTGTATTTTCCTTTACCGTTCTGTTTTAATTTCACAATAAAGTTAATAGTCATATTATGTTTGATATTATTATGTTTTATTAACTAGACCACTGTTTTTTTTAACCCGCACCGCCTAGTGGTTAAAGCACGTTATTAAATGTAGTTGTTGAATAAGTTATATTTGATGAAAACATTTAAATATTAAGAGTAGCCTACATACAAAATAGGGGGAAAGTAGAAGGTCAATGAGATAAATATAGAATAGAAAATATCAAGAAGATACCCGAGTCCAGTTTTGGATAGTCTGCCGTGGTTCCATTCCATTTCAAAGAGCTGTTTAACACTCGGCGCAACCTTGTCGCACTGCCACTCCAACATCCAATCACAGAGCTTGAGGACTAATCACGGGGTTTGTAAAGCAAGGCGGATGTTGTAGTCCCAAACGATAGCTGGGGATTCTGGGTAGTGTAGTGTCTTCGGAAACTCTGTAGTGTCTAAACTCCGAAAAAACAATTTGTTTCTCCGAATCGAAGGTTAAAAACACAAAAGCATTGTACACAATTTAAACCAATCAATATTGTGTAATTAACAAGGATAAACTGATGTGTTTTAGTGGATGAGTAATGCAGATATCACTGTGAAATCATTTGACAGTGAGGGGAATACATCCGGTTTTATTATGAAAACTTCGAGACCGGAAAAACTGTTTTCACCCCGTGAGGGTTGACGCTAACTTTACATGGAAGCTGCCGCTATACACGTTCTCCTGGCGAGACCTCAAATCATCTTCGTAATATCTATCAAACTATAGATCCTACACATCCACTGGGCGTAGATTCTAAAAGTACAATATACACTTCTCGCTAGAAATCTAATAAAAAAGCATTTTAATGGCCAAACTATTCCACAATTTAGGATTTTCCAGAGAGGGTTATTTGTGAATAAATGACCCTCCGGAGCGTTTGCAATCAACGGGAGCATGTTGTTTCTTACACGACCACTAGAGGTGCTACACTTTAAAACGTGACTCTGGGTCGTATTTAGCTGCTGAACAATCGACCGATATGGTTGTTTTTTGTAGGAGGACAGGCTGGTATATATCTACTTATTAATTGAACAAAGCTAATAAGCGCATTTCCCAAAATGTGGAGTTTAATTTAATAGAGAGATGAGTTGTGGAGATCACATGTTAACATTTCAACTTGAATAGTGTCTTCATCTTCAGGAAACTCTTTATAACTGCATCAGTTCAAATGTGATTGGCTCTACCCATGACCAGTCTGATTGTTGCATCTTTTGAAACTTCAGTTTTAAGGTTCAAGATTAACAAAGTGAGATTCTCTCATTTCACCCTAGAATTCAGGCTATTCTAGGGCTAAAGGCTATTTTACTTGTACTACCTGGTTGTTTCGAAACAATAGATATGTTACAAACTTTTCACATCAAAGAACATGTTTGAAGTTTGGAGCCAGGTGTACTATTCCTCACCCAATGGTACTTTTATACATTTCCTGAGCCTGATATGTTAAAGTCAGTGAAATGCTTTGAGTTTTTGCCGTTGAGCAGAGTATATTTCGCTGCTTATTCACTGTCTAGATTGTGGTTGTCAGGATCGTTTTCACAGAGTGGATTAGAGAGAAGGTCATTGTTAAGTCCTCCACCAAGAGAGAAGGCCGACTGGAAACTGGCTGGATGTCTTCTCAGGGGCTGAAACGGGCTCATATGTTTTGGTCATATGCCATCATTGAAACAGAACAAAGGTCTAAATTGTTTGAAAGTCTAACTGAAATTACAATTATTTATTATGAAGAAAAAATGGAGTTTACAGTATATACCCTATCCTGTTTGTTAAAGATTTGTGTATAAGAGGCTTTGCTAAACACATTTGGGGCTTAAGCCTGCGCTGCTTATGATGAAAATGTCTAGGCAAGAAATACATTTGTAACACCTAAATCCAGACAGTTAAGCAGCTGGAAACCAATTATTGTCAGGCATGAAGTTCTGTATAGCACTCCCTACATTACTCCGTGACTTTTTACATTACTCTGTGTCGTGGCTCGAATCACAGGGTAAGGTACGTGTGCAGCGGTTACAGGAGTATGTGCTGCTTGTTTGTTTTGAAAATCTTTTATATCCACACCTGGACCCATAAAATATAGCTAGTGATATATATAGATAGTGATAGCTAACGCTAGCTAGAACAACTCGTTTCTAAAGGTGCGTTCAAACTGGACGCGTGCCGTGCAATGACCCAGATGTAGCGGCTCGTATGAAGCGAGTGAGACACGAGGAATATCGATGTTCATGAATGCATGTGTTCAAACCACAGACCATCTATATGGCATGATAGATTAATTCAATGCTTTATTTATGTTACAGGATCTTATTTTTGAGTGTTTACGGAGCAGCTAGAAAGGTAGCTTAGCCTAGCCTAGCTCCATTCACAAAACAATCATTTTATAAGGGGTTTGCTTGCCATGATGTGAAAAGACCTGACAAAGAATTACTCCAGGCTTAATCAGTATCATTATGTAGTTTGGAATTTTATGTTTTGATTTATTTTGGAATCTCTCTGATATGTTTATTGTAATAAAATGATGGCAAAATATGTAAATGTTGGGTTCATACCCCTGTATTATACACGATTGATTCAGCAGACTTGTTACTTGCCAGAGGCAGTGAATACACTTTTGTGGAATTCAATGAGTGTCTTTGGATGATGTTATGAACCCAGAAACAAAGCTTTTTGCTTTCCCGACATATCTGGGACTTTCACAACATGCACATAGCAGCAAGATAAGGATTTCAGCAATGGCTTTGTTAGTATCTACTGTAAGTATGTAAATAGAGATGAGCCCCGACTCCTCTCTGGTGCATCTAGTTTCAGCGACTCGAGTAAACGTTTGATGCCTTGTTTCCACATTCAAATAACACGAGGTGAAACGTAGCCCCAATTCCAGTGTGAATGCACCATAGTGAAGAAAAAAACATGGCAATGAGTGTGCAGAAGCTTCAGATGAAATAGCATGGACGAAAGGAAACTAGCCACCAATTTCTGGGTGGAAGCTAGTACGCATACAGCTGGCTGGCTATCTTAATCTTTCCGAGTGGAATACAAACTCAACAGCATGCTGAATGTATAGACAACATATCACTAAAAGTTGTTAAACAATGTGGGCACTTTGAAAAAGGTTGCGTCATATTTTGGCTATGAAGGGATCTCAGTTAGTAGAACACTACAGAAGACAACGGGTTCGTTTTCTCTCAGAAACATAAGAAAACATATTTCTACTCCTACTTCTAAATAAATTAAGTTTTCGCTCTAACTTCAGTAAAAACACCCAAAAAGTGAAGAGATTCTCTAGTTTTGTATGTTAACTGCAACCATCTATATTCAACATTTAGATTTGAATCCTATAACTGTGCTTCATTTTATGGCAAATATGACAAATATAATGAAGCTACTCACCTGAGAGCACAGTGAATATGGCAGCGAAGGCGTTGAGCTTGAGGCCGTCGATGACATTGCCCAAGTGACACACCTCTATGGACATGAGGAGGCCTCCGGTGGCCAACAGGAGGATGTATAGGCACTCAGCAACAATGCACAGCCACAGCACTCCTGTGGATACAATTGATTAAGGCAAAGGAATAGCAAAGAGGAGAAACCTATTCAAATTGTGGGTGCAGGGGTGAACACGGTTGAGGGAATGACGGAGGGGGTGTAGTGACAGGAATGGAGAAAGGAGGGATGGGGACTTGGAAAAGAATATGGGTAAGTAGGGGTGAAGAGAGGAGAGGAAAGAGACTGGAGGAGAAGGAGGATGGGGACGAGAAGGAGAAGAGGGAGGTGGACAAGTGACCCCTCTACCCATATCATTAACCTTCACAGTCACGGAGAGGATATATCATCCACCAAGGGAGGAACAGCATCCTGAGCTCAGGTCTGTGAGCGAGGAGACTAAATATCAGCGGATTTAGAAACCGATAAATGTACACAGCGGTGTAATTGCATGAATCACCCAAGGGCAGGTACTGATGTGTCTCAATTAATCACAATGTGGACTACCGTACTGTGCCTGTTACTCAGAATAATTTAGTGTGAATTTTAAATGTACATCCCTGAGCTAAAGATTTATTTTTAACTGCTCTCAATTGAATTCCACACACAGATTTCATTATTAACTGCATATAATTAGGGCAGAGGGGATTAAGGAAAATGTGAAGTCTTGAAAGCATTTGGTTAAAGTATATCTTTTCATTTTGCTTTGATACAAGTAAAACTTGAATCATACCAGCATAAAAGACAAATGCTCTCAAGTGAATGTGAAGCATAAGGGGACCAGTGATAACAGAACTTAATACCCTCTGAATGCACTGGCATCTAAGCTGTCTGAAGATCTCTTTATTTTCAGGGTCAGTGTCTGGTTTTCTTGAGGAGAGGCAATCACTTACGTAGTTGCCCTGTTCCAGACCTTTATATTGCATGTAGGGTTGTTCAGCTATTGTACTATTGTATACAGTATATTGGGTTATAACTCAATAACCTTAAAATGAATCCTCGTCAACCTCTTCTCTTCCGTTGCAAAACTAATAAGGAAAACAATGAGTTCAATTAATTTCTATTGTTAGTACTGGAAATATATAAGTAATATGGATAAGTGTACAAACTTAATTTGATGTAGACAAAAAAGGTTTTTGTTGCAGGGATGACGTGTTTTTGTCTGCCAACAAGGACGTTAGCATCGCAAGGGCTCCTTTGACAACAGCAATGGGACTTACCATTGAATTTTGAAAGCTAACTCGATGGCAAACAAATGTGTATGATACTAGAAGAATCTCAACATTTGAACACCACTTTATGATTTTTCAAACGTAAAAGCAATCGGCAGAAGTAAAAAGCGGACGTTATGCTGTAAACAAACTACATGATGGTTGCATGGCTGCGCATCACCACCGCTAAGCTAAAGGTGGCTAATGTTTGACGTGATGAAGTTTAGTCTCATTTGGTCGCTTGTTAGTAACCGCCGTTTTCAAGACACCTAAAAGCTCAGACGTATTTTAAATCATAGAACAAAATGTAAATATCTTTTAAGATTTTGTTAACAGGAGGAGTTTAATGACTTAGCATTTTAGCAGAAAGTGTAAAAATGCTAACGAATTTAAAGGTTTAGCCCCTCATCACACGCACTTCTTAATAGAGATCAACAAAACAACAACACTAGAGTAGAGACACTGTTTTAGCCTTGGTATTACATTTGAACATCGATGTAGATAAAAATGAAGATGTATTTGTTTGAGACAGGGTTAACTACTACAGAGCTAACTCCGTGGTATGGCATAATAGTCATTCATTCTATTAATAATCAACAGTTAGCCTACTTATAAAGCTTCAGATTTAATGTAGGCTCACAGATGAAAGAAGTATGGCAGCCAACAGATGTTCTAACAACTGTCTCAGTGGTGCAAGCATTGCCAGTATTTCATCACAGTGACAAAAGATGTTAAATGCCATTTAAATGTCAGTATTCTGACACAGAACGATTTTAAAAGCAATGTATTTCTATTGGTAGTATGTTTCGTGCCTGCACCAAATAATAACAAATTAGAAGGAAAAAAAGATTTAAAAAATACAGATTTCAGTATTCTGACAATAATCGTGGCTTGATTGAGTAAGAACATGTTTTTATGAACCACACAGCTTCCGGTCTTCCAAGACCCGACCGGACAAAAAGACGTGTAGCAGGCACGAAACATACTACCAATATAAATACATTGCCTTTAAAATCGTTCTGTGTGACACGAAAAAAAAATTGTGTTGGTGAACACGAATCAATAGATTAAATGTATTTCGTGACTAACACGAAATGCCGTGAGACTGGGTTGTTTAACCAGTGGACCAACTGGCACCTCTCAAGGTACCGGTCCACACTGCGTATGGTACATTTAGGGACTTGAATCGGGGACCTAAGGATGTAGGCTATGAATTATGTACGTGTGAGTGATAACATTTTATGAATATGCTTACCTCTTTCATTTGAAGGTGCGACATTAAGGAAACTTCTGCAGTTTTCACCTAGAAAACAATAATTAGACATTTAATTGACTGTTGGTGTATAAGCACTATGCAACATGCTGATAAGTGAGACAGGAAATCCATCGTGTATTACTGTATTATCAGATTGAGATAGAAAGTCACTATTATACCACAGATAGAGTTGAGATGAAAAAAACTAAATCAATATTTAATCCAATCTGTGAACGGATTTCCTTTGTGTTGTGCGAAAACAAGCTCAACAATTTCCCCTAGCAGATCCACATTTCCAGCCTTAAATCCAGCATGTAGTAGTGCGGTGGGGCCATGGGACCAGCAGCTTTCACACAAAACACTAAAGGATGTAGGCTGTAGCTAAGAGAATAAAACATCAACCTTGAAATGACACAGTAAGATTAATTCCATATTTTCCCGATACATTGAAAAAGATCTGACAGAAAGTGAAATCAGTAATGCATTTGAGGGGTTTCGTTAAATCAAAATTGCAAAACAATGTGTCAAAGTGTAAGCTTCTTAAATGTGAAAAGTAACAGTTTTTCCTCTTCCTGAATTTTAATATTACACTAAAAACCTTTTAGTTTTTGGATTATTAATTCAATTATTAAGCAACTCTAATATGTTAACTTGAATATTGTACATTTATATTTGTACTTTTCTGACACATAGACCTAAAATCCTTATTCTCAGTTCAGTAAAAACTTGGTTTGAAATTCCGATATCTTATATTGTTTGGATAAACACAAACACCTGCTTCTTATATTCAACACTGATGACCAGGTGTTGCATTTTCTTATTTCTCATCAATATTTTTTATTTTGAACAGTTATAATATGACACAATACAATAACCTACACTTTAGACAAGACGTTTCAAAAACTCAGAGCAAAAACAGAGACAAAAAGGAGCAGCAGTAGTCAACTTGATGTGCGTACTTGTTCTGTTATTGGCACCACATGGTTGTAACCATTTCATGGATAGTGCTGTGCGTTTCTGATGGTATTATACATTTAACTTTTAAATACATTTCTGGGATCGATAATTAAATCTAGTCTGTGTTAAACCAGATTTCTTTATGGAAGATTTTACTCAAAGCATGACTTTGGTTACGATGCGCCTCCGTGACGCACAGCCTGCGCGCCCCGCTGCGCACCCACTCATCCTCGCTGCTCGTTTCTTTTCAAAAACTCACCTGTCATGTTAATGTTCTGCTCGCAGGAGAACCAGATCCCGGTGTGAAACTTCCTCATCACGTATTTATCCTCCCCGGTCTCCCAGATGTACTGCACCAGCCTGGTGTCGTTGAGGTTGGAGCTGTTGAACCTGATGCAGAACGACTGCCTGGTGGCGGTGAACGGGCCGGTGCAGAACGGCTTCACCACTTTGCGCGTCCCTTCGCACCAGTAGCTGGTGGTGAGAGCCGACACCGCCAGGAACAAAGCCAGGAAGTTCAAGGTGAGAGCCATAGATGCTCTCCGGCGTCGGTCTATCCCCATAACGGCGACCGGAGGAGTGAAACACGCGTAACTTAATCCCTAAACCTTGTATGACACCGAATTCTCTCGATCCCTCCTCAAATTTTAATAATCCGGTTATTCCCGGCAGTA